GTAGAGAAAAGTAAAAGCTATCACGTGATCCCTTCATCTGTTGCCTGGGCAGTGGGCACCTGCAAAAAGAATTTAAGAAATTATCATAAGAAAATGATAAATTAATTACCAGTACCACTAAACCGAAAATAAATGAAAAGAACAAGAAAACTGTTAGGTATATTTATTGAAACGTCATCGTGACCAATCAGAGGACCCGTCCATTTCATCAACTTTAGTGATGACCGCACTTCTTAAAATTAGCCGCTAGATGGCAGTCGTGTTACATTGGGCGCATGCGATTGCATGCAGTTTACCCGAGTTTACCCTATGAGTGTACCGCAGGCTTTCGAGTTCCAGGCAAGTCATTAAGTACATTTTCCGCCAATATTGTACAAATGCTTTATTTTACACTTTATTAATGCTTTATTAATATATATTATACAGTTACAAATGCTTTATTTAGAGATTATTTAGTCATTAAACTTTCAGCATTGCCACTCACTGGTGTGTGTCACGTAATAATATGTCATTACACTCTCCTAAATGTATGAATTAAAAGAACAACATAGTGCCATCTCATGACAAATTGCCAATAGGATAGGAAGGACAACATATCATGAAAGCACCACCCAACAAACACAAAACGTTTTTACAACTTTTCACAACGTTGTATTTTGGTTGGAAAAATAGACGTTTAGTCAGTTTAACATGCATTCTTAATCATTACATCTTAAAGACATCTTCTAAAAGTCTATTTGACATCTGACAGGAAACGTCATAGACGTATTGCAGATGAGCAAACACTCTTAAAAATATGTCTTCCAGATGTAAAAATCACATCAAATTGACTTGTGCTATATGGGGTAGTTTTTGCAATTTTATTTGTACACCACGTTTACCATATTAGCTTATAAGCCTATAGCCTATAGGGTGGGACACTGCCTAATGTGGGACACCTAGGTCTATTATTTGTTGTGTGTTTGTAGATCCCCATAAATACATGACAATGAAACTATTGGTTGGACAAAGCTGTGGTGTCATCAAAATCACATGACCTATCAAATGTTCAATCTTATTTGATGGTGGAGCAATCATCAAACAGGAGACACCTTGTGTGAAGACCATCCGAAGGTTAATGACAGAGTTTTAAATCCTGCTACTTTTTAGCCTTATATGCTTATTAAATGTTTGCCCATCACAAAATAGTGTCACTTTATGTGTATAAACAAAATATTTTATATTTGTATCAAATTCACTAGTGTCCCACATTAGGAAATGTGGTTTCCAAATCAGGGACAGTATCAGCCCAATGTGGTACAGTATTTCAAAGAGTCAAAAATGTGTTGTGGGGCATGTTTTAAGCATTTTTTTAATTTTATTTTAATGAAAATATGAATAATGTTTATATTAGACAAATCTTAACTAAAGAAAAAATTTCACCTAAGGCATTGATAAAAAGGAAACACCTTTGTCATGACCTTTTTTCTGAATCTGTGGTCAGATATTAAAGGTCCCCTGACATGAAATTTTCACTTTCTGAGTTTTTTTTTAACATTAATATTAGTTCCCCTAGCCTATATTTGGTCCCATCGTGTCTAGAATTTTCAATCGGTGTAAACCGAGCTATTTTTCTCTAGGAAAGGTTACCTCCCCTTCCTCTGCTTTGCCCTCCCAGGGAATTTGGCTCGCCCATGAGAAAATGAGCTGGTACAAACGCGCGAGCGCAATTTGAGTTTTTCTTAGAGAAATAGCTTTGAGATTTGAGTTTTTCGATATCATGGCTTGCTATACAAATTGAACACAAAAGTATTTTTTAGTTCCTTCATCCGAGCATCTAAGGAAACAATGGGTTAATTTTATTTTCTCTGGATATGCGCCGACACAACTTCCCAAAGTTTTGTATGGTCCAAACCATAGGTTCTCAAAGTGCGGCCCACCGAAACATTTCTGGCAGCCCGCGAACATCTGATAACATCTGTAAAACTGTTAAAACTGTACATTGCTTTGAAAAAAATTATATCTCCATTTAGTGGTGTTTAGCGGCATCTATACAAACTCAAATCAAAACCAAATACCTGATTATGTAATCCATATGGAAATATGTTTTTAGCCGACACTTAGAAAACAGTAGTTTCTTAAAAGGTCCCGTATTATGCCCCTTTTCACAAGATGTAAAATAAGTCTATGATGTCCCCAGAATGTGTATGTGAAGTTTCAGCTCAAGATACCCAACAGATCATTTTTACAGCATGTTTAAATTGTCAATTTTTGGGGCTCAGAAAAACAGGCTGTTTTAGTGTGTTCCCTTTAAATGCAAATATGCTGCTGCTGCTGCTGCCGGCACAGGGGGCGGAGCTTCATGAGCTCACGCACGGAATGATGATAATATCAGTAACAGTGTTCATTTCGAGTCGGGCAATAATGCCTACAGAGTCAGAGTGCTGTATAGAGATGGAACAGGTAGTTTAGTAGTTTAGTTACGGTTATTATAACGTATTTGTTATCTGCTTGTATGTACTGTATCCATTATTTATTAATAGCCTAACGTTACAAGTCTGCTGTTTTGGACCGGGTCCGAATGATGACCAATACTGAGTTTAAAGGAGAACTCCGGCGCAAAATGAACCTTTGGTCTAATAAAACATCGGTACGTAGTCAACCGTTCTCTGAGATTTGTTTTCATGATAATCGAATGTAAAGAGTTTTATCTCTAAAAACTGTTTAGCGTATAATGCTAGTACTGGGGGCATAGAATAAGTAAAAAGAAATCACTAGTTTATACCACTAACAAGGCTCAAAATAGCCCCACACTAACACAGTTACATAATGAGTGTGTCCATAGATGCAAAACGAAGCATTGAGAACTTTGTAAGTGTACGGACCGTTTAATAAGAAGATACTTTATAAAGACAGTCCACTTCGTGTATACAGGTGGCGCCATCTTATAAAAACAGTCTCGACAAGTCAAACCACGAACGCCATTCATACAGTTCAGAAGTTCGCTGAACTTCACACAGTTCAGCTCACTCAGCACGACGTTCGGGGTTTGACTTGTCGTTGACTTGCGTTTTAAAAAGACAACAACCGTTCATTTTTCGTTTTTCAGTTACGGCTTAAAAAAGATAGATGATAATATGCAAATCTGCAATAATGGAAACGATAGATATGAATGATGATGATGACTTGATTGGTAAGCTTCTATTTTGAAAGTTTCTTTCTTCCCCTTTTTCACAAGTTTTGCCTGGTTTAGCCATAGGGTTTAGCTTCAGTTATGAATTAAAATGTGTTTATTGCAACTAATGTAAACTCTAGTGATGCAACTTGGTCATTAAAATGATTTCAAATTTCAAACCCTTAATCTATAAGTATGTTTGCACAGATGATACACCTTACAGTACCCAATCTTTGGGGTAATTATGTCTGTATAATTCTGTGCTGGCAAACGGCCATTACTTTTCTGCCAACCAGAGCGCATGTAACCGCGTCGTGACGTCACGGGCGAAGATCCCTATAAGCTAATTAAACTCTTCTAATACCAACTTAAATTTAATTGTGGTTAATTTCTTGCTTTATAGAACTTTTAACAAGGACTATTCAAGTTTTCTTCCATTTGAGTCCTCTACACAAATTGCATCATCATGGACTCTCTCAATTCTGGACAACAGGGAGAAAAACTAAAACTGAGGTCAGTTATTTGTCATGTCATAAGCCCAAAACAATAATGTCATGAGATTGTGTTACATAAAAGTGAGAAAACTATGCCAACCGTGAAGCTTATTGTGATTTCTCCTTTAGCCATGCCCTTTGCCTTTGTTTCCCAATAATCCCAAAAATGAGTCTCTCCCCCGTTCATTCTTAGTACAGAAGGCAAATTCACCCTCAAAAGTACAGTATCTTAAAAAAAAAGGCTTAAAATCCTGGAGGAAATCACATGATCCCACTTAATGTTGAGCTGACTTTAGTCTGTAAACCTCATTGTCACCACAAACCATAAATCCTATAACCACTCCCTTGTTTGTCCAAATGTATTGCCAAAGAAGAGGCCTGGTTGTAACCATGGTGCTTATGAGTTTAGTGCGAATATTTAGTGTCATTAAAAAAAGATTGATGTTCATGGCATGTAACGTTTACCTAATACACCAAGACAAGCTGTTTCTACAAAGACTTTAAGTACTACATCAAAAGTGCACCCCGCACACTGAGAACCAAATGTTTTTTACACAGTTTGTGGCCCTGTTATTTATGCAAGATGTTTGATGATATCAAACATGTGCTATTCCATAAAGTCACACACAATTAGACACCGCAAATTTATATATGGTACGTTTTAACGCAATCGGTATGGCAGAATGTTCTGAACTGACAGAACTAGACCCTGCTGTTTTCAATTAAACTGGCAGGCTGAAAGGTATGTCCGGCCGCCTCAGAACTTGCAGTCAGCCAAGCAAGAGTAAAAGATGAGCTTGGCTGCACTTACATTTTAGATGTGTACTTTCTAGGTTTTCCACGAAAAAAAATGGAATTTAAAACAAAAATAGGTTTTTAAAGTTTGTCAGGACAACCTCAGTGGAAAAATCTTGACATTTGAAGATTTAGGCCGTATAAAGTTTAAAAACAAGATTTTATTTTTTTTTTTTTTTTCAGTTTGAATGTTATTATTGTGTAGTTGCATTACTGTTGCTAGGGTGTTTTGAGTTTTTGCTATGGTGCTTTGGCTGGTAACTAGGGTGTTTCTGTGCGGTTCTCTTTCTATTCTCTCTGCAGCTAGGATGATAGACAGACAGTAGGTAGGTAGGTAGGTAGGTAGGTAGGTAGGTAGGATAGATAGATAGATAGATAGATAGATAGATAGATAGATAGATAGATAGATAGATAGATAGATAGATAGATAGATAGATAGATAGATAGAATTATTGATGACTAACAGTGATGTTTTTATCAGTTTATATTGGGAAATAAACAATATACCACTACGGTAAGTTAAAAAAAACATTTTAACCAGTTTACTTTGAGACATCATAGTGTAATCATGTTGGTCTCTGGTGGTTCATCCAGGCTATAAAGCTCGAGGCAGAGTTTTATTTGAAAAATAAGTGTTTTACTGGGTTATTAAACCTTCTTCAAAGTCTCATTTCATGACTGAAGAACATTCAGGTTTACAAGGGCCAGATTTCAATAAGGTCATATTTGATCACCCAAATAAAAAATGTAAGAAATGCCAACAATTTTACCTTGTACATTTTTTAATGCGTTTGAAAATGTGCAATATTTTTTTTTTTTACATACGATAGTAAATAGCAAATAATTCCTAAACTTTTTTTTAAGAGTAAAGTGCAAATACACAGTTCACAGTTTTTCTCTTCAGCCACATGTGGCTGGCAGACTTGAGTAAAAGCATGTGTTTTCATTTAGCCCTTCAAATAAATAGGAAACTCTGGGAACAGAAGAAAAAGTGAATCTAATTAACTCATTTTAATTTCAGACTCTTTTATGGCTTTCATTTGTCAATCAGAGGGAGTCCGTTTGCACTGGGGAATTATGTGAATATGTTAACCGACATTTATGTCAACACTTTACAGAAAACACTGATAGGCAGTCAGGTGGCTTCCTGTTGATATTTACTGGCCCACAGCAGAAGACTATGTACAGTTACTGTAAAGATTCCAGAAAACAGTGCTCCATTTATACGTGCTGGCTAACCTCCCGTAATGGAAAAACGCTGTCGGAAAAAAAGAATAATGGAAAAAAAGTTAAGATCCTGCTGGAGTAGAATGAATGGTCTTAATTTATTCCAGTAGGGTTAAACTTGATAGATTTTCTTGTTCTCCAAAACAGACTTGATATAACTCTTATTTTCTGATAAATATAAAAGTGTTTGCTGTATCTAAATCACATACAGTATGAGTACTTTTGGTTTTAGTTCTAGTCAAGAATAACCCTGGGTGATACGATATGCTGAACAACATCTATAGCCATTTTATCATTGCAAATTATATATATCTATTTAAAGTTTCAAAAAAATCCATTTGTCTATTGAGGTAAAGGCAAAATGGTGTTTAAAATGAGGGAGAAATGCTGACCAGTTACAGAACTTTAAGCTGAATGAGTGTATGACATATACATCATCTACCTAGCCATATACTTACTGTATTAAATGTTTATTTTAGGGTAAACCTGTATCTGATTTTCGCAATCATGGCTCATAAATACAGTTCACTTTAAAAAAAAAAAACTGTTTGGCATGAGTTACAACATCAAAAACTACTAAAATAAATATATATGCTGAACCATCATTCTTTGGGTGTCAGTTACAGTGTCCTTTTCACAGTTTATTTAAATGTTCACCACATGTGAAAGAAATTGTCTATGGGCCTGTGTCTAAGGGCTTCTGCTAGATGTCAAGATCATCCGGCCTGGCCCGACTGCTCGCTCGACTACTGGGTCGAGGTTCAAGCTCTTTGAGCAGCAGAAGATCCTTCCCCAGAGTTACTTTCTCAGGATATGGAAAGCGCTGGGTACGACCCAGCTGATTCTGTTCTGTACTGTAATTAGTCCAGTTCTGCTCATTAGCCTGCTTGTCGTAATTGTCAGAGGAGTTGGACTTGTCGCCCCTATCTAGGTTGTACCCCAGATTAGGGGCCGGGGCCGAGCAGTCGTTGTAATAGTCGTAACTGGACAGGTTCCTTGGGCAGGGCTTGATATTACAAGTGCTGTCAAAGTTTTTCGCAGACTCTCTGATTTGGTCCTTCATCCTCTTGAGAATCACATTAAAAAACTCAAAGACGTTGAGGGCCAGAGACACCAGCGAAACGACCAGCATGAAGATAATAAAAACCGTCTTCTCAGTGGGACGAGAGAGAAAGCAGTCCACTTTATGCGGACAAGGGAACCTTTGACACGTGTAGACTGCTGACAGCTTGAATCCGTAAAGGTACCACTGTATCAACAGGAAAACAACTTCAAATACAGTCTTTAACACGATGCTCATTATATACGTGTAATATATCCCTCCTCTCATTTTGATCTTTCCGTGATCTTCCAGGCCGTACTTGAACTTCTTAGTTTCGATTTTCTGCAGGAGCACATCCACATCACCGCCTTTGCTCTGGATGTCTCTTAGTTTCTCCTCCTTTTTATTTAATTTCTCCTGCTTGTGAATGAGGAAAATGATGTGGCTGAGGTACAGGAGAGTCGGCATGGACACAAAAATGATCTGCAGCACCCAGAAGCGCATGTGGGAAATGGGGAACGACTTGTCGTAGCACACGTTCTCGCAGCCGGGCTGCAGCGTGTTGCACTTGAACGCCGACTGCTCATCTCCCCAGGCGGACTCCACTGCCGTCCCCAACACCAGGATCCGGAAGATGAAGAGGACGGAGAGCCAGATTTTGCCTCCTGCCGTGGAGTATGTCTGGACCTTGTTAAGAAGTTTCCCCAGTGCACTCCAGTCACCCATGATGAAAGATTGAGCAGCAGATGACCAAGCTTCAAACTGAAAAGGAGAGTAAGTTCAATGAGTGTTATAAACACAGATGAACCCTGGTGTTATACACATCCGAGTGATCTCCTCGCTCCCCATATCACTGCCAAATACAATAACACAAGTCTTTGGCTCATCTTCAGAAATGTTCATGGGTCAATCTCCATTCTGAATGAACGTTCTGGGGTTTTCTGTCTTTTCAGCAGCTAACCTAAAAACAAAAGTTGATTTTTTAACTATATAAAAATCAAAACAAAGGAAATAAGCTAAAACACATACTAACTGACAACTTTTTTTTTTTTTTTTAAAGAAGAAAAAAAGTACATAGTATAAAAGTATACAAAAATAGTCTTTTCTGGATTGCAAACTACTCAGGATTAACACTTGTATCACGTTTCAGAAGATATTGAAATTACTTAAAAACAAAACTAACTTACATTTTTCGAAAAACATAACCAAACGAACTAAATGACGCCATTAAAAAAATTAAAAAAATAATAGGCTTCAAAACAACAAAAACATAATATAGACCTAATCCGTTAGTCTATACAAAAATGCCGAGTTTTATCATGCAGTTTTAAGTATAAACATATATTCAAAGTATGTTGTACGAAGGTTATTTCTTACCTGGAAACTCGTTAAAACCCCAAAACTTCTTGACAGTTAACGTACGATGACGATCTGGAACACATTTCAATCATACATTTCCTAATTATTAGTAACTTAAGTTAGTTTCGATATCAAATTAAGTTCTCCTACGTACGGCGAATGTTCCCTCATATCATCCGTCGGAGGGATTGAGTCAGAAAGGAAAAAAGTTAAACGTCAGCTGATTCAAACTTGGACTTCCAGAACGTCTCCAACTCCGTTATATTTTTGAGAGAAAATGGCCTGGAACAGGAGAGTGCCGTGAAATTGGGAATTACCGCCATCTGGTGTAGGATAGAATCAGTAACACGACACAGAACAGAAGCAAACTGGCTTTAAAATGCATCTGTTGTTACCATGACAACGACAGGTATGAAAGCGAGGCTGTAAGGGATAGACTTGCCATCCGCTGTAAAAGCTATATAAAGGTCCTAAATCACTTTTAGTTTCCACATCTCGTCTTGTCTAGTTTTTTGCTGACTGAAATTTCTTGGAAATATATTTTTGCAGTGTTTCGTCAGCAGAACAATCCAAAAACACATTAAATAAACAGTCTGAAGAGATCTTTAGTTTATCCCTTACAGCCTCGCTTTCATTCCCGTTTAAAAAAAAAAAAAAAAAATCAAGGATGGCTCTGCTGTGAATAAAGTCACGTCAGTTCTTCAGAAAAAAAAAAAAAAAACTTTTGCTGATAATTTACTCACCCCCACATCATCCAATATGTCCACGTCTTTTTTTCTTCAGTCATTTTGATGAAAACATTCCAGGATTTTCTCCATATATAATGCACTTCTTTGGGAACCAAACGGTTGAAGGTCCAAATAAGAGTTTCAGTGCAGCTTCAAAGGGCTTTAAACGACACCAGACGATGAATAAGGGTCTTATCTAGCACTCTTCGAGTTATGACTCGGAAAAGATTTGTTCATTTTGATGGACGAGTTTGAACAGGAGCGTCACGAATGCTCATCACAGAACAGAGCAAGGCGAGCATTTGAGCTTATAAAACTTAAGTTTTTTTTTTATTTTTGAAATGACCGATCGTTTCGCTAGATAATACCCCCATTAATCGTCTGGTGTCGTTTAAAGCCCTTTGAAGCTGCAATGAAACTCTCATTTGAACCTTCAAGTTGAAGTTCAAGTTCCGTTTATTTATAGAGCACATTTACTACCGGCTGGCAACCAACCAAAGTGCTGTACAAAAATTACAATAAAAACACAGTAAAACAAATAGTGATCACTTAGGATCAGTGAGTACAAGTCAATTACATGTTAAAAGCTGCATCAAAGCTGCAACATTCAAGACCGTCAACCGTTTGGTTCCCAATGAAGTCCATTATATGAAAAAAAAAAAAAAAACAACCTTAATTTCTTTTCAACTGAAGAAAGAAAGACATGGACATCTTGGATGACATTGGGGTGAGTAAATTATCAGCAAAATATTATTATTTTTTTATTTATTTTTTTAAGTGAACTACTCGTTTAATATTTTGGAGTTTTTGTTTTTATTTTTTTGTAAATTAAGTTTATTAGGTAAATTAATGAAAGCATTCCATTTAACAAGCTCAATTGATGTAACAAATAAGTACATTTAATCTACAGGGGATTGTGTAGATTAGAACACATTACAGAACACATTTTTATGTATATAAAATGTTAATTAAATTTCCATTTTTTAAAAAAGTGCATTGTATCTTTTTTTATTAATTGAAGGGTGAGATTAATGTAAAGACACAAGTTTTGTTTTACTTTTTTTTTTATTCTGGAACAAATCACATCTCTTAAAATACTTACATATATCAATTTATTACGTAAAGATATATTATCTATTATGATTAAGCATATTCTACATAGATATTTCCCGGCACATACTCTTTATATTTTGCAGGACTTAAATGAAGAAACTGATTTGGTCATTGTAAATGCTTGGTTTGTTTTTGGGAACCAAGAATTGTTTTTCTCTCACAACTAAACATTCAAGATCAGAAGGTTCATTTCCTCGGGGTCATGGAGGACCTCAGGGGAAGCTCTCCCTCAACCCAGCAGTTTGGATTGGCCAACATTCTTTTCCATATTTGAACTTCTTCATTCAGTGAATCCATCCAATCAACTTTCTTTCCATAGCTCTTCCCTGCAATTAAATAGAGACCCAGTTTAATGAAATGGCTTCAAGAAACCTTCTGTTGGCTTTTAAATCAGGATTCTAGTGCAGTTTAAGTGCAAAATAGAGGTGCAGTAAAGGAAATGGTTTTGTTACTGTACCTGTTCCAAGACTGAGGCGCAGACCTCCGAGAAACTGATTAGAGAGTTTGTTGTGATCCCAAACGGTCAATTCGCAGCAGGCCTCACTGACTTCCCCAGCTTTGAACCCATCATACACCATGGCATGGTTATACACAGGGTTCTGGCTCTTTTTCACAACACGGGTCTTCTGGCGGCTTTTCTTTCTGGTGTCCGGTAAAATGTAGCTAACAAAAAAAAAAAAAAGAGGTGAATCTCAGTAAAGTATATGTCCATGCCTCAAAAATTGTATTAAGAAAATGAATTGTATAACAAAAATAGTAATAACTTACAATAACTCATAACATAATTTTTTCCTCTTTTTTAAGTGCTAGATCAGTTATTTTAAACTACTTTTAACTATATTCAAACTTTTGATTTGACCATGTAAAATGAGGATGTTAAAATGTTGCCATTTTTACTTTTGTCCTCTAAACCAAACAAGATGAATGAAATGGGTCATCTGTGTTATTTCCTTTCTTCTCATGTCATTTTAATAGATGGAAACAAAGCAAAAACACGACGCTTCAAACATGACAAAGAGGAAGCGTGAGAGGTGGGGAGAGAGTGAGAGATGGAACAATGGCTTCAGCTGCTTTGAAAGTCAGATCCGTAACAGATGACAGGCACACCCTCACCACTTAACAAAAGAATCCACTCCCTGAGGCTTAAGGCCACGTAATTCTGTTGCCTCCCGCAGCCAGACATGAATCTCCCCAGTGCTGTTCTTCGACCCACCTGAAATCAAATAAAGGGTTTCAGAGCAAATACAGTTCGTTAGTCATGAGCAATATTCCTCAAATTAAATGTACAGAATAAAAATGAAATACACAGAAGCAACATCAATATTTGAAACTGTACCTGTGGACTCCTGAGGAACATATTTTAGTGAAACTGACAAAAATCCATTAGACTCTTGCGATTCTTGATTCTCTGCAGTCTATAATAATAAAAAAGAATATTCTGTTATACAAGAGGACTAGGTTGACCCGAGACATCACTTTATATGAAATAAGGCTCTATTCCTAAACTCTCAATGTTATTTAGCTTTCCTAATCACAGAAATATCTTTAGAAGGTGCACCGTTGACTGTAGGTTGTACCAGGTGAGGGCTTCATGTCCCCAGTCCCAGGTCTTAAGACTAATCTCAACCTGCCCCAGGAACACATTTCGGCCCCTGGAGTCATTGTGCCACACGGACAGATTCAGAGTCTTTTCCGGAAGCTCTTCGCGCCTCACTTTGTACTGATTAGAGATTTGCAGTACAGAAAAGATTAAAGGTTATATCAAATATACACATCTTACATTTTTCATTTATACATTTTTCTATCATTTTAGTGTTGCAGAGAAACATACTCTCAGAGATTCCACAAAAACTGGATTCACGGTCCGTTTCTTAATAGAAGTTTTCCTTTTGCTGCGGCGAGACTTATCTGGATAGAGGTAAGTCTTCACATAACTGTAAAGGAAAGTTTATTATTCATGATTAGATAGATAGATAGATAGATAGATAGATAGATAGATAGATAGATAGATAGATAGATAGATAGATAGATAGATAGATAGATAGATAGATAGATAGATAGATAGATAGATAGATAGATAGATAGATAGATAGATAGATCTTAATGTATTTCATTAGTATATGTTTTATTTTAGATTTATAACTCACGGGTCTGTGCGGTGTTTACGAGGATTAGCAATAGCCAGATCCTGACACTGTTCAATCATAATGATTAGCTCTCCAACAGGGCTGTACATCACTGCAAACTCCACAGAGCCCTGCACCTCAACATTCCCAAAATCCCCTGCGTCGCTGTACACGCTCAGCAAACTATTGGTGCGCTTATATGAGGGGGAAAAAATAGCAGGGATAAGTCTCTGGAAGGCTATGTTTTTTATTTGTGGACTTTCAATGCCTTCTACTTGGATTGAGGAAATGTTGCAGATGAATTTAAATGAATACTTGAACCTGCGCCCCACTAGAGCACAACGGCCATTGTATCATAAGCATGTGCGCCAGACAGCAAAACACCATTCAATGACATTATGCAATCTAGTAATTTCATAGCATACCACTTAAAGGGATAGTTCACTTTGAAATTAATTTTGATATGTTTTAGCTTACCTCAAGGGCATCCAAGATGTAGGTGTCTTTGTTTCCGGAGTAGTTTAAATTTTGATATTTTTCGGTCAAACCGTTCTTGTCTGTCAGTCATATAATGGAGGTATATGGGTCTTCCTCAAAGAGCATGCACAGAGAAGTCCAAATTAAACATGATTTAATGACTCGTAAATGTAAGTACACATTGATGGCTTAAGACACGAAACGAGCGGTTTGTGTGAGAAAACGAACAGTATTTATATCGTTTTTACCTTTTGTAACCACAGCCACGTCCAAGTACTCTGAGGGCGAGGGCGCTTCTGCCTGCGCAAGCATTGTTTACAAAGAGATTTCGAAAGCGTTACCTTTCACTGTGAGGATCTAAATATATTTAGATATACAGGAAATTGCAATGGAAGACGATTTCGATATATCAACAGACAACGTTGATTTCTTTTCCGCAACCGAGCAAGAGATCACTTCCGGCGCTTTCCGGCGCTTGCGCAGACCGAAGCGCCCGTGCCTTCAGATCACTTGGACGTGGCTGTGGCTACAAGAGGTAAAATCAATATAAATATTGTTTGTTTTCACACAAACAGCTCGTTTCGTGTCTTAGGCCATCAATGTGTACTTACATTTACGAATCATTAAATCATGTTTAATTTGGACTTCTCCGTGCATGCTCTTAGAGGTGGTGACCATATACCTCCATTATATGACTGACAGACAAGAACGGTTTGACCTAAAAATATCAAAATTGGAAATACTGTGGAAACAAAGACACCTACATCTTGGATGCCCTTGAAGTAAGCTAAAACATATCAAAAATTAATTTCAAAGTGAACTATCCCTTTAAGGTCTATTTAAAAGTGTTTCAAAAGTTTTTTTTTTAATGTTTAATATGCATAAACATCTATTCATTTCCAACACTGTGCCTCTATGGTGCTTTCCAAGTAAGTCAACTTTGACTCAACATAATAAAGTGTTTATCGGACAATTGACAAGCCAGGCCGGGCAATGGTAAATTGGCCTTCTGAACAATGTTAAAAACAGAAAGTAGAAATGAAAATCGTCCAGCTTACATCAGTAAGAGACAATGCGCTAGCTGAATAGCCTTTTCTGCCGGAGAGATCAGACCCATAGCTGGAAAGTGAAGTATCATCATCATCGTCATCTGAATCGACTCCTTCATCCTGCAACATAGAAGACAATATAAACAAAAACAGCAAAGCAGAACATAAGGTTACTTTTTATAGTCACTGCAGAGGATTGAAAACGAATGAATTATAATTGTAGGCCGAACAGTAGCTCACCTTCCAAGCATCTGCAGTGTAGGAAGGCGTTTTACATGTGGATGCCTCAAGTAAAGCTTCTATAATGGACACCCCATGTTTACTTCCTAAAGACATCAAAGAATAAAGCAAAGCTCAAACCAGATGTAAATCCATGAAAATCTACAGGGAGAAATCGAACAGGTTAAACCTGAGCTTAGGTGAACATGTACAATACTGGGAGTGTCTTTCTCGAATATCAGCCCTAAAGGGCACTTCAGAAATCAGACCCCACTGTATTAACATGGTGACTAAGCCTCTAGTATTAAGATATCGTAACCATTACCTTTCAACTCTGTTGGATCTGGAGATTTAGATGGTATAATGACTATTGTGGGAACTGTACCATCTCTAATCTCCTGCTTTGGCTCCTGTGCAGTGATCTTCTGCAGGACAGGCAGTCTTGCCCTTTGACTGTCCTCGTCATCTTTCAATTCTGAAGAACCTTGACCCAGTCCAGCATCATCTTCACTTGTAGATTTAGCTGGTTGAATTGGTTCAATGGATGATTTGGCGATATGTTCAGAGTCAACATGCAATCCAGCATCTTTAATGTGCACTAATTTCCCATCATCCATCACGGAAAGATGCTCTTGGCTTAATTTTCTTGTGTGGGTGTCTTTTGGTAAGTTCTGATCTTTTGCCAACTTTGTTTTTTCTTTACCTTCAAGGGCATCAAGAAGTCTTTGCACAGTTTTGTCACTGACACTTCCTATCGTATTCACACTAACATCAGCTGTTTTATTCTGCAACAACGGCTCCTTTTTATTAGACGTTTTATCCTTTCCGATCTCGACTGGGACGTCATCGCCAGAATCAGTGGAAGCATCTTTTCCCTGCAGAGTGTTAGAAGGAAATTCATGAGAACTCATTTCAATTTCCCATTTTAATGACTGACTTTGGAATGCTTCTTCAGCAGAGGAATGCTTATTGATTTGTTCCTCAACTATTTGATTCGCATCTGTCTCGGCATGTAAACCAGTGCTTACGTTTTTTCCTCCACCTCCCTTCCTGTCTGAACTTGCTTCATCATTAGGAAAATCACCAGAGACCATCCTTCTCTTATCATGCGCATTAGTCGAGTCTGAGGGACTCCGTTTATCCGTTTCAGACTCTCTAACTATAAATTCAGCTGAACACTGCTGATCTCTGCCTTTGTTATCTTGGAAAGCATTAGAAGACTTCTTTGAACCTTCATGATCTGAGTGTCTAGTAAATTCTGGTCCATCACTTGTGAAAACTATGGAAGTCTGTGGTTGATTCTGAAACTTGATCGATGAACATCTTTCTAAGAATACATCTTGGTTAAAGTCTGAGTCGAGAGATTCAATTTGAAATGATGTCTGATCCATGAAATTTAAAGACGGACTTGATGTGTTCTGCTTCTCTTGGGTCTCTGTGTTTTCAACATGTGATTTTACCTCTTTTAGTTCAGGTTCAACATTATTGCTTTCATCATGCACAGGCTTCACTGCGTTCGGTTCGAGGGAAATCTTCACCCAGTTCTCCTCAAACGATTGATCTTTCTGTAGCGCTGGAGGGAGTGAAACTTTTCGCCTTGGCTCTCGATTTGTTTCATGTTTTGCAGGGCCTCTTTCGGGTTTAGTGTCTTGAACTGCTTTTGAGAAGGGGAAAATGGTTGTTATTTGGTCATCAGAGAGCTGTTTGGGTTGTGCTTCTTTTGAATTGTGTTTTGGGTCATTGCCATTGAGGACATGATTGCCATCAATTTCTGCTTGAAGTTTTATTTTTCTATCGGACACTCTTGGAGTGGATGAAGCCTCTGTAAATACAAACATGAAAAATACAAAATCAACAAATCAATCTGGGTTTTTTTTTTTCTTCAAATGTAAACCACCTTTTTTTCTTATTAGAGTTTTGCTGATAATTTACTCACCCCCATGTCATCCAAGATGTCCACGTCTTTCTTTCTTCAGTTGAAAAGAAATTAAGGTTTTTGATAAACATTCCAGGATTTTCTCCATATAATACACTTCATTGGGAACCAAACGGTTCAAGGTCCAAATAAGAGTTTCAGTGCAGCTTCAAAGGGCCTTCAATGGGTCTTATCTAGCACCCTTCGAGTCATGACTCGGAAAAAGATTTCTTCATTTTGATGAACAAGTTTGAACAGGAGAGTCACGAATGAGTTAATCACAGAACAGAGCAAAACGAGCATTTGTGCGTATAAAACTTAAACTTTTTTTATTTATTTTTTAAATGACTGCTCGTTTCGCTAGATAAGATCCTTATTCATCGTCTGGTGTCGTTTCAAGCCTTTTGGAGCTGCACTGAAACTGTCATTTGGACCTTGAACCGTTTGGTTCCCATTGAAGTCCATTATATGGAGAAAATCCTGGAATGTTTTCATCAAAACCCAAGACATGGACATCTTGGATGACATGAGGGTGAGTAAATTATCAGCAAACGTTTTTTTTTAAAAGTGAATTTTACTTTAATATTTTTATTCAACATTAAACTGAATTTAAATTACATTTAATTAACATGCATTAAATTGATCAAAAGTGACAGTAAAGACCTTTACATTTATATGACGTGTTTTTATATTTCTAATAAGTAAACACTGTTCTTTTGAACCTTATCCAAGAAAATATTAAATAGCATAACTGGTTTCCACATTGATGATTATAAGAAAATCAACAAATCAGCATATTAGAATGATTTCTGGAGGATCATGTGACACTGAAGACTGGAGTAATAATGCTGAAAATTCATATTTGCCATAATAGGAATGAATACATTTCAAAATATATTAATATTAAATTGTTATAACATTTTAATCTTAACAACTCAAGATTTTTGAACGCAAGTGTAATTCACTACAAAGCACTGAAATTCTGAATTTACTTGGTTAATCAGTCATTCATATATAAATAGGAAATATGTTTTATCATGTACTTCAAACTCACCATCATCCGTAAAGTCATCATCAGTATGTTGATGATGAGTCTGTGAATAAATAGAAACAAAATACAATAAATATATATATTTTTTATATTTAATTTAACTTATTTTCTGAATATGTAGAGAAAAACTCAAGATAATATACAGTATGTAATAAACCTCTTTACTGAGGGCCGGATGAATTAATCTAGGGTCAGCAAATGGACTGCAGGGGAAAGAAAAAATTTAGCATAATATTAATTTGTATGCAGTATTCATAACGATAATATAAGGCATTGTCTGTGCTGGTTTAATCTAGCCTACATATTGAAAATCTATAAATTGAAAATCCACCCAAAATACATGTTGATGGCATTTTCTGTGAAAATAAAGCCCATTACTTGGTAGGTGTGCTGTGCTCCTCCTTTTCATGCTCTTTGTTCTCGTCTACTATGTCATTCAGGAAAGGGTTGGTTTTATGGGCTAAGTTAAAAAAAGAAAGAGTACATATACAGTAATCAGTTCTGAGATACACAAAACTTCTTGATTCAAATCTAGAAGCAAAGTAGTTTGTATTCACTTAACAGTGAAATGTAGTTTTACGGTTACAGCAATGAAGAACAATGCAGAGCATGTTGACTCAAATGACTGAAATGTCCAGACAGGTGTGGTGTGTGTACTCAAAGATGAAATTCAGCTCAATAAGGAAGGCAAGAACTCCTACATACCTGCTGTTTTCTTCCATCTCATGGAGGTCCGTACCACTGCGGTGACATCCGTCTGTAGCCCGTATCGCTTGACTCTGAGATCTTCAAACCACTCACCTGTTAGTGTCTTCAGCTTTTGAAGGTCAGGAACTGACTGCCTCAGTTTCCTGGTATGACAGAAAAAGCAAAGAAAGGATTCCAAACAGTGAAAAGTGTGCAAAAATCATTATAACATATATTGTAAAATAAAAAAATATTTATATGATTAGTTATTTATCATAAGCTTTGGTTCGGTTAGGGTTCCCTAGCAGACTTAGTGCTATATTCAATACAATGTCACACTAATTTGATGGACAGACTACATAGGTGGATTGGACTTTCTGACACCGCATTGAACAGGTTTACATCTAATCTCACAGAATGTTCCCAATTTGTCCAATTGGGTATTAATAGATCTGAGACTGTGCCATTACAACTGGGTGTCCCTCAGGGGTCAGTGTTGAGTCCTACTCGGTTTAGTTTCTATATTATTTCTATGCTGACAATGACACCCAGATTTATTTTAGCACTCAGCCTGATTTCACCTCTGCCTCTTCAACTCTCTCGACTTGTATGTTGAAAATAAAGGCCTGGGTGAAACATAACTTTGTTAAATTGAATTGCTCTAAAGCTAAAATGTTGTTAATCGGCACTCCAAATAATGTTAATAAATGTATCAACTTACCAAGGACAATAGCCTAATCTCCCCTTCAGTTCATGTCTTGATTTATACACTTTAATGCCGACACATTACCCTGTGCTTCTTCAACTACACTGGCTCCCAGGTCAATCATGCATCGTTTAAAAAAAAAAAATTTAATGATTTTAACTGAAAAAGCAGTACATGGGTTGGCTACATTTTATACATTTTGTGAGTTGGTTACATCATCTATACCTTCTTGTTATCTATTCGCCTGGTTCTCAATCTCTTTATCTTTGTAAACTCAAAATCATGGAAGGGGGGCCTTTCTTGCATTGCTCCAAAGTTAAGGAACTTGATTAAGAATGACTCCTTGTTTTGATTAATTTAAGAAACTTTTCAAAACGTCTCTTCATCTTTTAGTAGTTTTTAATCTGTAATTATCATTGTGATTATTGTCATAATATACTAGCTATGTATTATTTGTTATTTGTCATTCTATAACATGTTGTATCACATGAAGAGTATGAAAGTAGCATTACAAATAAAATGTATTATTACTATTATTAATATACTTAAGTAAGCACACTTTAAAAAAAAACCCACTGTCAATATTTTTTTCAGTAAATATGGGTCAACTGGTGCTCACACTTTGCTTATCATAACAACAAGTTGCAGAATGGTATATATTTATTTAAAATCTCTATGTCCCACCATGCCATGGCCTATTGACATCAAACTTAACAATCTTTCAAGAAAGTATCTGAACTGTAATTTTGTCTTAATTACCAACATTTTTAGAAATAAAACATGCCAACATTGAAATTAATAAATGCGTGAATACACAAATTGTTTATAATTATTAAATAAAATAAAAAAAACATTCAAATTTAGCAATTCAATAAAAAATAAACAAATTAAATTAAAAAAAAGAATAACAGTGACTTCCTAAAAAACTTTCAAGGGGGATAACAGGAAAATATCATCATTATTTGGGTTCAATACTTGTACACTGAAGAAAAAACAAAACAATCTTCACTCAGAGGTTGCTACATTTTACTACAAAGAAACGGCACAAGAAAAACAAAATAGGTTATATTAAAAGTAGAAAACAATAGTATTTTTGTAAACAAACATTCTTCGTTTTATTTAAAACTTTGGAAAATATTTTTAACAGTGTTCAATAAGACAAGAAAATGTCTTGTAGCTAGTGTAGATCAATCAAACATCCAGTTCCTAACGTTACCTGACTCGTCCACTGTCCAGTCGCTTTAAATCTTCATCTCTCAGAAGCACTTGTCGGATGGCTGCCTCTTCCTCAGCAGACAGAAAGCTCAAGTCAATCAATTCCGATGCACTTTTTGATTGTTTCATCCTGTTCAATAAAAACAAACTGCCGAGCACTTTCCTCCAAGGTAAGCTAGCAGCAAACCACTACGTTTTCCTCAAATAAGAAATCTGTCAACACTTTCAATCCGTATGAAATCGTTCCTGCCTTACACACAAACAGCTTCCGTGTGCTCGAGGAAGAGACTGCACTTTTGTCACAGTTATTCACATTCACACGGTGTAAAAAAAGCTAAGGTGCGATGTGACGTCATATGTCAACATTTATTTTGAGAATAGTTAATGTTTCCCTAGCTACATGTCCTTCAGGAGTTACCTAACGTTAGATCCCTGAACCAGGACAAATACAGAGGTGAAAATCTATTTATTGCATTATATTAAAATAGTCTCGTTTTGTTATTGTTATGCGATCCACATGGTATATAGCCCTGTTTTAATGATTATGAGCTCCACTAAAAAAACATAAGACACACACAAACACATTATATAACACAAACTTTTATGTCAGGCTAAATATAAACAAATTGGCATGACCCAGATAATCAAAACAAAAATACCTTTCTTTTTCCTGATCCTTAAATTATTAAGCAACAAAGTCACGTTTGTGTTGACAGCCTGATTCAAGTTCCGACGTGCTTTTCTGCAGCACAATTATGTTTAATATTACAGGCCAAATAAGAGGAAGTAGATGGGTTGAAGCCTTCGACGTGAAGTAGAAAGATGGTGAGATTATCATCTTTCTTCTTGATAATGTTTCTGGTTTCCTGTTTGATTTAGGAGACTGTGTGAGTTTGCATGGGGGAGATGATAGACAAATTAACAAATGCTTTGCTAGTTTGAAGGGTATTTTGAAAAGACAACAAAGAGTTTTAGAGCTCAAAATGTATCTTGGATCTTTCTTTTAGGTGCGCTTGCAGTTGACTTTGGGTGTGTTTGCTGAAAGCACAATGTTACAAGCACACCCACACCACACCTTTTAGATAAATCTTTTCCTGGCCATTACACAGCTAATGGAAGCTCAGAAGCCCGAAAAAAAATCCCTTACTTTTTACTTATTGAAATGGGTTGGGTGTAGTAATCATCAGTAAAAACATATCACTCAAACTCCAGTAGATGGCAGTAATTACTCAGCAAAAGCACTTATGGGCTCGGTAAAGACTTGAGGTTTCATAAATCAAATGCTATGTCTGCAGATAACCAACGAACTACATTTATTTGTTGTCACCATGAGGGAAAAAGCTTATAAATAATAGTAAGTGATGTTTTTAGAAAATATAAAAATGTAGAAAGCTTTCTGTGATAGTAGGTTAAGGGATAGAATATACAATTTGTAGGCCTACAGTCTAAAAATCATTATGTAGCCTATGTAAAATCCTCATATAACATGACAACAACCTATGTGAGAGTTCATCTATAGATCCAATGCATAATAAATCACATAATTATAAAATAATAAAAACTATTTTAATAAAATAAAATGAAATAAATTATATTAAACACTAGAATATAATGCAATAGATAAAATAATATCTATGCTAGGTAAAATAATAAAATAGGTAAAATAATAGCATAGCCTATGCACACACACACACACACACACAACTAAACAAATTTAATTTAATAAAATTATACAAATTAAAAAAATATACAGTATAACCAAGAGAATATACTTCATAACATTATACCAGAGTATGTTATCATATGTTATATTATATTACATAGAATATTAACACATTTATTTAATTCAATTAAGATAAATAGAATAAAGAGAATATACTCCATACACTATACCAGAGTATTACATTATATCAATTACATTATATAAAATATATAAAATATGTGTACAGTAGATAGGTATAGATCAAATGCATAATAAATCACATAATTAAAAAGTATAACAAGTATAACTAATTATTTTAATAAAAAAATAAATATCATCAGAATATATTTAGTATTCAATACAATATAATGCAGTAATGTAATATGAATGATAGATGGATATTGGACAATATAATAATATTGCATACGAATTCATACAATTATATAAAATTAACGAAATTACAGTAAAGAGAATATACACCATAAACACTATACCAGATTATTATATTATATTATATGATGCAGACACAACTAACCATGCTAAAATGAGCTATGCCTTTAGTTCGTGTTATTATTTGTTTTCATAGACCCCATTTGTATTTCTATCACGTATCTGCAGCAGAAAAGCAGTGTGTGAGGAATCCGTACTGCTCTGACGTCATTTACAACTCTCTCTCCTCGCTCTGCATCAGCGTGTGTGCGTGTATGTGATGATGATGATGATGCTCGAATGTTACATTGTTGCGCTCAGTTCAATGTCATGCGTTTGTTTCGGCTGGCTGATGTAGACCAATGATAACCGCGTCTGTCATCAATCGCACATTTAAGAACATAGATTGTGTAGTGACTCGTGAGTCAGGTGAACAGTAAGCTACATTCATCTGCAAACAGTGATCGACACGTACAAAGAAACGGAAACAGGATGATGGGTTTACATGAATTCATATGGATGACAGGTATACTGATGGCGCAGGATCAGGAATTTTGATCGTGCAGAGTGGGTGAAGATGGCGACTGGGACGGGCTGGCAGCCGCCGTACAGCATCAATCCTCCGCTGCTGCTGCTGCTGCTTCTGCTGCTTCTGGATCAGGCACCAGTCCATCCTCCACATCCAGCCATTTACTCTACGAATCTGCACTGACCATGGACTACTCTCAAGATCTGCACCTGAAGATGAGTAAAAAAATAGCACAACTCACTAAGGTTGGTATGATCGCATTGCTCATATTTTAGGGAAATCGTATGAATTCATTTTGATCGCAGTGTCTCAACTTTAATAGACTGTATTCTGCGTGATGTTTAATCCTTATCCCCCATAGAGATGATGCCCTACTTATTGCAATTTTTTAACCGCAGTGTTGTTTTCCTCCCCCTGCAAAAATCTGTTTTTAATCCTAGACAATATTCGCAAGCTCCATAATAATTAATCTCTACAAAAACAACGTATTTTATATAATGAGTCTTTAATGCTGAGATAAACAGTCTAGTTAATTAACATCCACGTTTATCAGTACTGCGCGTGCCTTGTTTATTTTTACTTCTGATTTCATTTCATTCTTCGTGCACAACACCAGTATTTGCTTTTAATTCAAGACATTGCATGTTTTCCATTCGCTGTTTTTGTTTTGGGTCCCAGAATGATGTATGCGTGAAAACAACAATATTAACCTCTTATTTTCCCTTTCAAATGATTTTCATTTATTCTCTCGATGTAATCAAAATCCAGTAGGCATGCAGAGACCAGATCTTTTCATAGAAATGTGACTTCATTCTAGTAATATTGTTTATGTTTTGATTTTCTTTCGTATTTATGAGACCCAGAAGTAACCTAATGTAAGGACTTTTGGAGCATATTATGAAGTTGAAATTGCATGTGTTTACATCATATGTTTCTCTTAATCCATGCAGTATAAACATGATAATTAAATGTTAGGTATGTTTTCAAGCTATTGAAATGCCCTCAGGGTTTTTTTTTTCAGACTCCATGTCAGATTATTTGAAATGCACATAATCTAGTCCATGTGGTATTTTTATGAAAACTAAATCAAGAGCTTTGTTTAAAATCATAGTTTCATGTGTTTTAAACTGACAGGGAATGTAATACACTGACTAATTAGACTAGGTAGAGCTACTTTGCATTAGCCTACCTCAGTTGTGCAGAATAGAGAGTGCTTACAGTATGTTAATAATATGGATGCGACAAAGGAATCAATTAAAGATGAAAAGGAGAACAGGAGCGAGCGAGCAGCAAGTGAAGACGGCTTGCTTTGATGTGTAACTCTTTAACCACTGAAGGGGTCGTAATTATGAAATGCTTGGCTGGAAAAATTGTTGGCACTCAAAAGGAAAACAGACTCTTGTTTGTGAAATTCAGAGTTTGGTCTAAATCAGAAAGAGTTTTATAGAAATACGAGCAATTTGTTTTGGTTTACAGGAGCCCTGAGGACTCAGAACATATATTATGTATACAAGAAGGTTCATAACAAAAAAAATATTTGTACAGGAATGTGCAACTTGGATATAACTGCATAAATGTGAATATATGCCCTGATTGGAGTGCACTTTTCCTCTGTTTGTTGCAATCTTCTTATGTCTGATTTGGTGACAGTGATGCACAATTTGGAGGTGCACAAGACAGACACATCTTCCAATGTGGCTTGGAGGAAATATTTATTGGCACTTTAAGTCAAGCCATGTCAGCTTTATATGTGGCACTTTATACAAAGCCAGTCTTTTCTAAGCAGCTCACAGTAGGAATATTACAGATTCAATGATGCAAACTTTATCTAATACGAGACAAATTCTGAAGCTCATGACACAATAGTGTCATTATTCACCTTAAAGGAGTAGTTCACTTTACTCACTTTAATTTACTCACCCCCATGTCATTCAAGATGTCCATATCTTTCTTTCTTCAGTCGAAAAGAAATGAAGGTTTTTGATGAAAACATTCCAGCTGTATAAAAACTGATTCTTCACCACCCACAGGTCATTTACGCCCTCAACACGAAAAACGACGAGCATGAAGACGCCATCCAGTCTCTGAAGGAGGCCCACGATGAGGAGATGCAGCACATCCTGACGGAGACCCGAGAGAAGATCTTTCACTACAAGAGCAAGATCGGGGACGAGGCCGACCTGAAACGCCGCCTGCAGTCCCTGGAGGAATCCGTGGAGCTGCACGAACACATGAAGCGGCAAGCGCTGGCAGAGTTCGAGATGTACCGTCAGCGCATGGAGGACACGCAGCACTGCACGGAGGCCCAGCACACGCAACGCGTGGTCTCCATGTCCCGTGAAGTGGAGGAGATGCGGCACGAGTTCGAAGAGAAGCTGCGCTCCTTCAGCCAGGTGCAAGCCCAGTTTGAGCAGGAAAAACGGCGGGCACTGGAGGAGCTCAAGTCAGCTCACCGGCAACAAGTCCAGGAGCTACTGGAGAGCCAGGAGAACCAGAGCGCATCCTCAAGCCTAGAACAGGAGAAACTGGCCGACCTGCACCGCACAGAGCTGGAGTCGCTCATGGAGCGTGTGGAGGAGCTGGTGCAGGACAAGGTTCGGATGGTGGAGGAGTACGAGGCCAAGCTGAGCAAGGCTCAAGGGTTCTACGAACGCGAGT